TCTTGACCCTCCGCTCTGGGCCGTGCACCTGCTAAGACTGTGGGCTTGGATGAATCCCTTCCCCTGGGTCTCAGTATCCTCCTTTGTGAAGTCAGGGGGGAGGACTCATCTCCTGGGATGATTCCGGAAGTGTCGTGGGGTCCCTCAGATGTAAAGCCCTCGGGCCAGTTCTTGGGATGGAGCCACGTCTCTGAAAGAAGCAAACGTTTAGTCAGGACACCTTCTGCCAGATTTGGGCATCTGGTATTTTTTTGTTTTTTGGGGTTGGAGTCTCACCCTGTCTCCCAGACTGGAGTGTAGCGGCATGCTCACGGCCACCCCAGCGTCCACCTGCTGGGCTCTGGTGATCCTTCCGCCTCAGCCTTCCAAGGAGCCGGAACTATAGGTGTGCACTACCACATCCGAATAATTTTTATTTATTTGTTGTAGAGATGAGGTCTCGCCAGGTTGCTCAGGCTGGTCTCGAACCTGCAGGCTCAGGCCATCCACTTACCTCGGCCTCCCAAAGTGCTGGGATGAGCCACCCAGCCCTGCCACATCTGGTATATTCTAAGTGGACAGACTAGGCATTTACAGTCAGGAGACATTTTTTTTCAGTGCAAAATCAATCTATAAGATGTTTTGAGCTGGGAAGTTCTGAGCAGAAGCCATCCTGTTCTTTTTCACCTTTGCCTTGGGAAAGAGGCAGAATGCCATGACTTGAACCCCGTGCGACACCGTTCCCGGAAAGTCCCGTTGAGGAAGGGGAGACGGCAACTGGGGGCTGAGAGTGTGGAGTCAGTGGCTGTAGGGATTTGTTCACCCCTTGGGGTCCCCAGGGCCCTGCTTGGCAGCTGTGGGCCTTCCAAGGGGCAGCTGGAGCCTGACCACACCAAGCTGGAGAAACAGTTGAGATGGTCAATCTTGAGAACGCCCAGCGCCTTGAGGGTTCCATCTCCTTGCGAGCTGCAGACAGAGATGGACTGGCCAAGCCTCAGCGGTCCTTACCCAGCCCTCTCCTCAAGGGCCCGAGCCCCAGTTAGCCAATTAGGGACCAGCCTTTCCCCCAAAGACACAGGCAGTCGAGGCAGGGGGTATCTCTGGGGCCATCTTGGCTTTGGGGCTGTGTCCGGGGGGTAACTTGCACCTGTCTCTGCCTAACACAGCCAGCTAGCCTCTGTCTCATGGGTCCTCACATGGGCACGCTGGCTTTCCTGTCCGCATTTTGTAGACGGAGATACTGAGACTCAGGGCGGCCTGGCCCAGCTCACTCACAGGTGGGGAGTTGAGGCTGGTCAGTTTTCGGAGCCCTGCACGTCTCCCACGGGGCCTGGCTTCCTGCAGAGTGGCCCTGGCCCTAGCTTGCTCCCTGCCAGCGGGCATGGCCCGTTCCTGCAGGCCCTGGCCCTGGGTGGATATCTGACAAACTACGGCGGGGCTGCTGCGGGAGGGAGTGACCTGCCCGCCCTGCTCCCCCAGCCGCCTGCGTGGACCTGCAGCTCAGGACGTGCGGTGACGCGCCCTACAACCACACCACCTTCCCCACCCCACTGGAGCACCGGTCGCGGGAGGCGGTGGAGGCCAGCTCAGAGTACATCCTGCTCAGTGTCCTGCACCACCTCCTGGAGGGCCAGTGCAACCCCGACCTGCGGCTGCTGGGCTGCGCCGTGCTGGCCCCCCGCTGCGAGGACGGCCGGGCGCGCAGACCCTGCCGGCGCGTGTGTGAGGGCCTGCGCGAGGCCTGTCAGCCCGCCTTCGACGCGATCGACATGGCCTGGCCCTACTTCCTGGACTGCCGCCGCTACTTCGCACGCGAGGACGAAGGCTGCTACGACCCGCTGGAGAAGCTTCGGGGTAAGGGGAGGCCCGCGGGGCGCTGTCCGTGGGGTGAGCGGTCAGGGGATCAGAGTGGACCACAGGACATACTGGAAGGAATGCCGGGGCTTTTTCCATGGCCTGCAACGGCGCAGGCGTGGGCAGGAGGAGCCCTTCCTGGTGTGGCGTGTTTCCCACAGAAGGCGCCAGAGGGGGTCTGGTGACTTCAGCCAGATGCTGGGAGCCCCCCGCAACTGACTCTTGCCTCTCAGGGGAGGGCTGGGGGTGAAAGGAATTGAGTCCGGGTGGGGAGGCGCTCCTCCCGTAAGGAGGCCTGGATTGGAGGTGCTGGGCTCAGGACCAGGTGTGGGCGTGAGTGGGGCTGGCCAGGGCTGAGTCCTTGGCTGCAGTGCACCCGACCTGGGGTGGGCAAGCCTCCTAACCCAGGAGGCCTGCCAGGCAAAACCTCATTGTTGCCACGGCTGGGCCTGGACCATCATGAGCAAGGTTTGGGGCCGGAGTGGACTCTTCAAAGTAGGGTCATGCGGCCCGTGGGCTCCAGGAAGCAGGGAAGGGTTGCAGAGAAACAGGCTTTGGCTTCTGGTGCAGACAAACCAGTGAGGACACAGGGTGCAGCCCTGGGCCACCGTAGGCCACCAGGTCCCACAGGACCTGGGAGGCTGCATGGGGCCTCAGTGTGACTGTCATCCCCCGTGTCTCTATCCACCTGCCAGTAAGGAGCAACAGAGAACTGTGTGAATTGTCGCAGCCCTAGCCAGGGGAGCTTCCTGCGAATGTTCTGGTCTGTGCCCACCAGGACAGCTGCCCCTGTCTACACGTAGTTTCTTAGTGCTTGGGATGTGGCTTTTGTGACTGAGGCCATGGTATGAGCACCTTATCTCATTGGAATGTGTTTAAACATGCATTTGGAGAGCCCCGGGTACCAGCGTGCACCACGTGGGACCATGCGGGGCAGCGTGTCTGTTGGTCAGGCTCTCAGGATCTGCCCTGGCACCACGCGTGTGTTGGCTCACGTGAACCTCACGACAGCCCTGGCTGCAGTGATGGGCAAATGGAGACCGCGGAAAGCAGACAGTGGCATCTGCAGTGAGCCGGACCAGTCACTGATGGAGGGATTGATTCGTCCACTCATAAACAGTCACTGAGTGCCCACTGTGTCCGTGGCTCCACGCTGGAACATTGAGGGTGGCAGGGGAGGGGACACAGACATGTGCCTGGGCTAGGCTCTGGGCTGTGGGAAGGGGTGTTCAGGACTGATCCCGTGCTTGTCGCTTCTCAGAGCCGTGGGCTCCAGGTCGGGAAGGGCTGACCGTCCACCTGGTTTCTGTGCAGTGGCCGCCGCGGGGGGGATGGAAGAGAGAGAGCATTTTGCTGGAGATGGGGGCTGGGGGAGGCCGAGGATACAGGGAAGGAAGCCGGATGGCTCGCACCCAGCCCGCTGCCCTGGGATAGCCCGAGGAGGAGTCTGCTTGGGAGATTATTTTGGGCACCTCCACCACCAAATTGCCAGTTTCACCTGCTGTCTTTCCCACCGCAGGGCCAGTGAGATACTTAGAGGCAAGTATTAACTCTTGGTGGCCCCAGGACTAGCCTGCAGCGGCTGGCATCTTGCTTCTGTGGGCCAGGCCGGGAGACCGCTGGTGGGGTGGAGGGGACCGGAGAGTCACCGAGGCAGGCCTTAGGGTGCTTCTGCTCTTGTGGGGTGCATGGGGTGCTGGAGAAGCCAGCAGCATGTGTTGTGCATAGAGACATCCGTTGCCAGATCCAAGACCTCCGCCCCTTCTCCTGTTTTCGCCCCCTTATTTCTCCCCTTTCACTCTCCTCCCCCTCTCCTACTTTCTTCTCCCCCCCAGACCCTTCTCCCTCCCCCTCCCCTCTTCCTCCCCACTCCCCCCTCCTGTCTGTTGTGCCAGCAAAACTGTCATCCAGACCTTGGGAAGCGCTCACAGCAGGGCGGTCGGCTGCAGGGAGTGTTCAGAACTGTTCCAGCCAGTGTGTGCTGGGTTGACACTTGTTTACACCACCATGCTGAATATGAAACGCGCCAACAGCTAGATGGTCACGAAAGCAGCATCCACGGCCCGTCAGCCGGCAGCAGTCCAGACGGGGGTCTTCTCCGGGTCGGGGACTGAGTCGACAAGTCTTTTCCTTCATAGTCTGCTGTTCTGGACTTTACAAATGTCCCAAAGCGACTACATTTTCCTTCTGTGCATAAGAACATCAGGAACTGCGTTGTGCTCTATACGTCTCTTGGGTGCTGTTACTGGTTGTAGAGATTGTTCCAACGCAAGTGGGATTGTAATGAGAAACATAAACACCGGTGAGCAGAGCTGTCCTAGGAGACGCGTGGGTCCCACACCCACGTAGCCGCTTCGAGGTGCGGGTTGGAGGAAGGCACTGGGAGCGGCCAGCGTCCCCCGTGGAGGTGGGCAGATAGAGCAGCTGACCGAGTGCATGGTGACCCTAGGCTGACCGATCTTTCCTCTCTCTCCCCAGGAGGCCTGGAGGCGGTTGAGACGCTGCCCTCGGGGCTGCCACCCACCTTCATCCGCTTTGCCCACCACTCCTTCACGCAGATGGCACGCGTGCTGAAGCGCACGGCCGCCCACTGCGCCCACGTGGCCAGGACCTACAGCATTGGGCGCAGCTTCGACGGCAAGGACCTGCTGGTCATCGAGTTCTCGGGCCGCCCGGGCCAGCACGAGCTGAGTGAGGCCCGCGGGAGGGGCCCGGGCCTTGGGGTACACACGTCGAGGGCTGCTTGGGGTGCTAGGCGTGGGAGGGGGCTTGGGGCCCTGCCCGGGTCAAGGTCACATCCCAAAGCACATGTGGAGCTGCTGCATAGATGGAGAATTTCCCCAGAATGTGCCTTGACTTGAAAATGTGGGGGTGGAGGGGACAAGGTTCTTTTGTAATCGTGGAGACCCTGACCCGGTCTAGAAATCTATACAGAAGACAGTGCAGGGATGTGGGCTCGTGGGGAAAGAGTGAGGGTGTCTGGGAGTCATGGGGGAGGTGGACTGCATCTCGGGTGTTGATGGCATCCGTCAGAGAGGAGCAGCCGGGCAGTTCACAAAGGCCCCTCTGAGCTTGGAAGGAACATGTGGCTGTGCGCGGTGCGTCTCCACTTTATGCTACCTTGTGCTGGCACAGCAGACCCCAGGCAGGTCTGTGAGGCCCTCAGGCCTGGGCTCTTTTTTTTTTTTTGAGTCAGAGTCTCACTCTGTCACCCAGACTGGAGTGCAGTGGCCGCTCCCGGCCACCGCAGCCTCGACCTGCCGGGCTCCGGCGATCCTTCCGCCCCAGCCTTCCAAGTAGCTGAACTACAGGTGCGCGCTACCACGCCCGGCTAATTTTTTGATTTACTGTAGAGAAGAGGTCTTGCCAAGTTGCCCAGGTGGGTCTCGAACCCGCGGGCTCAGGCAATCCACTCAACTCAGCCTCCCAAAGTGCTGGAATGACAGGCTGAGCCACTGAGCCCGGCCAGCCTGGGTTCTTGACCTCCGCTTTTCCAAACTGCTCCGGGAATGTGGGACCACAGAGCCATACGAATAAAGCAACTTTTCTGTTTGAAAAACCCGCGTCCATTTCCCTTCACATCAGGCTTGGATCCTGTTTTGAGTTGGGACAGGGAAGTGTGGAAAACAGTAGGGGTGACTGTTCCCTCAGAGAGCTGACTCCTTGCAGGGCGAGCCAGGAAATCAAACTTTATCACGGTCGTGATTTGCTGCTCCAAGTTGCGAGGAACCACTCGGGCTGGTAATGTCTGAGAATCCAGGTTGTGGCGGTGAGCACCCAGCCTCTCTGGCTGGGCAGCCTCAGTTTCCTGTGTGGGGAGGTCCTCCTCTCCAAGGACACGGAGAACATTGAGGGCACAAGAGCGAGTCCGGGGGCCCTGGGGGAGGTCAGTGTGTCGAATCTTCCGCCTCGCCCCCCTGCCCACCTGCCCCGTGAGTGTGTTAGTGAAACAGGATCAGCCTAGAAGCAGTACCCTTGTGACCCGTGGTCCTCACATGCAACCGAAAGAGGCATCTCCTCTTGGTGAATCGACTCAGGTATCTTTTCTAGGCTGGCCACCTCGGCCCCGTTTTCATCCTGTTGGCCGGGCAGCATGGACCCCACGAGCCGAAGGCCCTGTCTTCCACCAGGGGTCTGAGGTTGTCCGGCCATTCTACTCCCCCCTCCAGCCGCAGCATGTTCTGGGCAGAAGGCAGGGTCTCCTCTGCAGCACTGGAACTTGTGGGCGACGGGTGTCCCTTGTGCAGAAGGCCAAGGCATGGAAGACTCCCAGTCATTGACACCCAGAATGTGGAGTCTGAGCCACACGGGTGCTCCCTTGCACTCCTGGGGCTCCTCGGGCCACGCACAGCTGGAGAGGGAGACGCGACATTCCCGGCGAGCTGCGTGAGGCTCAGAGAGGAGGAGTGACCTGTCCATGGTCATGTGGCTTGTGAGGCTGCAGGTCCTGGTCCACTCTCCTTCCCACCCTGACTCATCCATCCATTGTCTGTCCATCTATCCACCCGTGCACCCATCCACCCATTTGTTCAGCCACCCATTCTGCCATTCATGTCTCCATCATTCATTCACCCATGCATTCATTCACCCGTCCATTCATCCATCCATCCATTTATTCATCCATGCATGCATCCATCTACCCATTCATTCATTAATTCATCCATCCGTCACCCATCCATCCCCGCATGCATGTATTTATTCATCCATCCACCCATCAACTCCTTCATCCATCATCCACCAGTCACCCGTTTATCCGCTATCTGTCCATCCATTTCCCACTCATCCACCCCCTCATCCATCTGTCCACCCGTCCATCCATCCATCCATCCACACGAGGGTCAATTGCCTTCCAGCTGAGCACCAGTGTGCCCTTGACTTGTTACACAAACACGAAGAGTGACTATCCGTGAAATCCATGTGGATCAATGACAACATTACTTATGACTAATATCCTTGATTTGTCATGCTAATAACTAGGAGTGGACATAAAAATGAGCTCAGTAGAAGCGAGGACCCCGATGAGTCCTCATTAAACACAGAGATTCTTGAATCAGAACAGGTGTGAATCAGCCCCGCACATCCGGGCAGCCTTGCTGACGGGTGCTGGAACTCCTGGGGACCCCAGAGCTTTGCAATAATGCTCCAGGTCACTGTGTTTCTCCCCAGTGGAGCCCGAGGTGAAGCTCATTGGTAACATCCATGGCAACGAGGTGGCAGGACGGGAGATGCTCATATACCTGGCCCAGTACCTGTGCTCCGAGTACCTGCTGGGCAACCCTCGCATCCAGCGCCTGATCAACACCACCCGCATCCACCTACTGCCTTCCATGAATCCTGATGGCTACGAGGTGGCAGCTGCCGAGGTGAGCACCCCCTCCTGCATGCAGACCTCGTGGGCTGCTGCCTCCCACATCCCTCGTGTGTTCATGTGCTGGCAGCTTTCCTGGTAGCGCCACGCCCCCACCCCTCTAGGTAGCTGGTGTCTACACTGGTGAGGTCCTGCTTCCGGGAGTGGGAGCCAGAAGGGGCGGCCACTGGTAATGCTAGATGTATGCAAAAGGTGATGCATTTGGTCTGGTGTGGTGGCTCATGCCTTTGCTCTCTGCGCTCAGGGAGGCCAAGGCAGGAGGATTGCATGAGGCCAGGAGTTCAAGACCCGTCTCTCCATAAAGAGAATAAAATTAGCTGGGCATGGTGGCCTTGGCCTGCGGTTCCAGCTACCCAGGAAGCTGAGACGGGGGGCCAGATTGAGCCCAGGAGTCTGAGGCCTCCGGGAAATGTGACTGAGCCACTGCACTCCAGCCTGGGCAACAGATCAAGACCCTGTCTCTAAAAATAAAGATAAAAACAAAAAGGCAATTCCTATGATAGACAATCATGAGGGAAAGGGAGTCACGGTGCCTGTGTGCCTCAGCTGGGGGTCGGAAGCTCTTGGAACAGGTGGACTTGAGCAGTGCCAGTTATTGCAGGACCCTCCAGGGAGGGAGCAGCCCATGCGGGACACTGAGGCCCAGGACTCAGAGGGAGGCTGGGCAGAAGAGGCCAAGAGGCCAGAGGGGAGGGAGGTCAAGGGCAGCACGGGCTCCCAGCTCATCCCACAAAGCCAGAGAGGAACCAAAGCCCCTTTTCCGCCCCTCGCCCAGCCCCTCGTCTGGAAGACGCAGGCTGGGGCGTGCTGACCCCCGTGGGGCCGGCCCGCACTTTCAGGGCGCCGGCTACAACGGGTGGACGAGCGGGAGGCAGAACGCACAGAACCTGGACCTCAACCGCAACTTTCCGGACCTGACGTCTGAGTACTACCAGCTGGCGGCGGCCCGCGGCGTGCGCACCGACCACATCCCCATCCCGCAGCACTACTGGTGGGGTAAGGTAGGAGCCACAACTGCCGGCGCCCACTCCCGCCCCCACCCGGGGCTGGGGGCCCCCAGGCATCCTCCTCCCCAGGGGCAGGAGAGTTGGCTCTGCCAGCCTCGGCTTCCTGTCTGTGAAATGGGGCAGCTCCTCGCTGGGTTGCTGGCGGGATTTAGGGAACGCCGTGTGGAAACCCCGAGTCCCTGGTAGTGCCCAGGGCCGGGCGCTGAGTCCTGGCGAAGCATCCCTGCCCTGGCTGGGTGGCGCCTTGGCAAGCACGTGCTGGGCTCTGAGGCCCACGGGCACGGCGGGGCCCGTGGGGAGGCTCAGCCCTGAGGTGGCCTCCTGTGCCCCGGCAGGTGGCCCCCGAGACGAAGGCTATCATGAAGTGGATGCGGACCACACCCTTCGTGCTCTCCGCCAGCCTCCACGGGGGCGACCTGGTGGTGTCCTATCCCTTCGACTTCTCCAAGCACCCCCAGGAGGAGAAGATGTTCTCTCCCACGCCCGACGAGAAGGTGAGAGGCTGGTGGGTGATGCCAGGGAGGGAGGCGGGGCGTGCGGTGCCCTCGGAGCGGGTGCCGGGTGGGCTCCGAGCTCAGTGACGCCCAGGAAGCCACTGAACCCCCAGAAGCATCTGCTCTGGCCAGTGGGGCAGCAAAGCCCCCTCCTCCAGGAAGCTTCCCGGAAGCAGCCCCTCCCCGCTCTGAGCGCCCTGTGGCCGGCTGCCCCTGCCTGTCGCCATGACCCCACCCGGGAGCTCCTGAGTGGGGACCAAGGCTCAGTGCGGCACTGTCTCTGCGAGCTGCCCGCCCCCAGCGGGGACCCTGGCCTTTCCCACCGAGAGGAGGGTGTGGTTCCCGGTCGTGTCGGCAGAGGGCAGTGCCGCAGCTTGCATGGTGCCCCTTCTTCGCTGGGCCTCACCTGGGGGCTCCTGGGGCGTCAGCGGGCCCTGTGGGAGAGGCCGCTGCTCACCTGGGACTGTAGGCGAGCCCACGCACACGGGCGTCCGTGCACACACGGGCACACACAGGCCTGGCTCCAGACCTCGGTTTCTCTCACCATGACCGGTGGGACCGGGCCTCAACCCCGCTCTTCCCTGAAGGTGACTTCCTGCCCCCAGCCCCCCGGCCCTGACTGTCCTCCCACCCCCCGGCCCCCCGGTGAGGCTCATGCTGGCCGGTCTTCCGGGAAGGCACGGAGTTGGCCCCTCCATTTTATGGGTGAGGAAGCGGAGGCGGGGTGGGTGAGGCCCGAGACGGCCAGGGCCAGACGGACTGGGCTGAAGGGCCTGAGTGGGCCCTGGAGACCCCCGCCCCGCGGCCCGGCCGCCCTTCCTTCGTGCCCTCCCAGACGCCTGCAAGCGGGAGCTCGGCCTCGACCAGCTCAGGGTCACCTCCCAGGGGGCTTAGAGGAAGGAGCGGGGAGGGGGGAACCCGTCCCGGCCTGCACGCGCCAGGCGTGGGTTCCCCACTAGAGTTGTTTGTTCTCTTCACGGAGACGGAGGCTGGCGGGACCCCTCCCCCCACCCCGTCACTCGCTCACGCACCCACTCACTCATTCCCTCCCTCCAGCACTCACTCCTCCATCACTCGTTCACCCAACCATCATCCACTCACCTGGTCCCTCACTGGGTGAAGCACCATCCCTGCTTCACCCAGCCCCTTTCCTCCTGGAGCCCCACAGCCAGCACAGGCCCGTCCTGCTCTGGGGTGGAGGACGGTGGGAGGCGGAGCCAGCAATTGGCGAGGACAGGAGGGCCAGGGCCAAATGAGGGCAGCCTGAAGGGCTCTCACGCATGCGCACGCACGTGGAGGCCTGGATGTACACGCACGAGTGTGTGCATATGTGTGAGCGTGTGTGCGCGTGTACAGATGTCTGCATGTGTGCACATGGGTGCATGGATGCCTTGTGTGCGTGTGCGTGTGTATGCACGTGCCTGCATGGGTGGCTGGTGTACATGTATATGTGTGTGCCTACGTGCATATGGATGCCTTGTGCACATTTGCGTGTGCATGCGCGTGTGCGTGTGCGCCCAGTCTGCCCTGAAGCCAAGGGGACTGTGACCCTGTCCAAGGGATCACTTGTCCTGCATTCATTCATTCTCCGCTCATTCACTCAGCCGTCCATCGCTCCCTCCCCTCCCTCCCTCCTCCCCTCCCTCCTCCACTCACCCGTTCATCCGTCATCCACTCACTCACGCATCATTTTCTCCTGCATTTTCTCCTCATTTTCTCCTGCAGCCAGCACACACCCATGCTGGGAAGGGTTCCAGGCCCTGCGCTCCGAGCTCAGGGGGCGTCCCACTGTGGGTGGCCTCCACTGCCAGCCTGGCCTGGGCCCCTGTGCCCTCAAAGAGCAGGCAGCCCTGGGCAAGGCAGGCATCCCCCCAGGCAGCAGGGGCTCCTCTGCGCCGGCTCCCGTCTCTGCCCCAGAGCCAGATGCCTGAAGAAGTCCCTGGGGCAAAGCGCACCTCACCGAGTCCCACCAGAGTCAGAGAAACAAGCTGCTCCCAACAGCCGTCCATCACAGATCGATAGTCCTGTGCCCACACAGCCAGCAGCCGTCTCTGTGCAACTCAGAGCCCCTGGGAGGCAGGAGTGGGCAGGGGTGTGTCAGGAGAGGGCTGGCTGGGGGCCCATCATACGCTTCCCAAACTACCATGGCGCCCACACCTGTCCTTCTGCCAGAATCCTGCTCCGAGCTGGACTCAAGCTGCATCCTGTCCGCCGATCTCTTCCTGCCCTGTCCACACCCCCTTGGGAACCAGCGTAGCTGAGATTACCGAGGGCTCCCAGCCAGGGCTGGGCTGGCTGGTTCTCCGCGGCCTTCGGCTTGTGTCCCTGGGCAGTTCCCCGCTGCCCTGCTCCCAGCGGCCCCCACAGCCTAGCTTAATTCACAGCCTCCCTCCCCCACTCGCACCCCTCCTCTGGAGTAGCAGTGCCTTTGGGCCACCTTGTTCTTCCAGAGTGCTTTATGAACGGAGACCTTCGCACACCCCGCCCTCACCACTTCAGTGTGCCTCTCTCGCGAGAAAGCCCACACCTTGTGGCCAGGGACCCGGCGATCACCCCGGGACCACTGCACCTGCCCAGAGCTCTGGCTGTGGCAAACTGCCGGTGACCCTCTTCTGGGCCTTTGCACAAACCATGTCCTGTGCCTGGTCACCGCTTCCCTCTCCTCTCTGTGCTGCAGGTGCTCTTTGGGGCTTGTCCTCACCCCTTTGCCCCCCCGCCCTGAGGGCATTCTGCAAAGCCCCCCTCTTGGTCTTGGCCTGGCAGGAAACCCCCCTCCCCGTCTCCTTTGCAGATGTTCAAGCTGCTGGCCAGGGCCTACGCCGACGTCCACCCCATGATGATGGACAGGTCGGAGAACAGGTGTGGGGGCAACTTCCTGAAGAGGGGGAGCATCATCAACGGGGCGGACTGGTACAGCTTCACGGGAGGTGCGGCCCCTGAGGGGGGGGCCGGGGTGGGGGCAAGTGTGAGGCGGCGCTTGGGAGGGGGCGGGCTCCTTCGCTCAGTTGCCTTTTCCTGGGAACCAGCATCGGGAAGGTTGGAGATCCTCAAGGACATGTCATGAGGCCCATGGGAAATTTCCGCTCAGGGGGGCAAGTAGTGAGGCGGAGGCTGGTTTGAGTCTTAGTACCGTCCTGTTAAGAAATAAGACCTGCAGCTGTCGTGGACGAGCTGGACCCCCATGTCACGTTCCCACTGTGACCGATGTGCCTTAGCTTTTATGGGTTAAGTAGGGTTGTCGGATGAAACCCTGGAACCCCAGTTAAACTGGGATTTCAGAGGGATAGTGAAGTTTTTTTTTCTTAGGACTGGTATGTTCCCATGTATGGGATAGACTTACCCTATAAGAATACCTATGGGACACATTTAAATGAAATTTGTATCTGTTTCTCTGAAACTCAACTTTAGCTGGGCATCTGCATTTCTTTCTTTTTTTTTTTGAGTCAGGGTCTCACTCTGTCACCCAGACTGGAGTGCAGTGGCCGCTCCCGGCCATTGCAGCCTCAAC